TCAAACTCAAAAAAAAAAAAAAAGACATAGGCCAGGCTCGGCGGCTCAGCCTGTAATCCCAACACTTTGGAAGGCCGAGGCAAGTAGGTTGCCTGAGCCTGCGAGTTCGAGACCAGCCCTGCCAACTTGGCAAGGCCTCATCGCTACAGTAAATAAAAAATTAGCCAGGCATGGTAGCACACACCTGTAGTTCCGGCTACTCAGAAGACTGAGGTGGAAGGATCATCAGAGCCCAGCAGGTCGACGCTGGGGTGGCCATGAGTGTGCCGCTGCACTCCAGCCTGGGCGATAGAGTGAGACTCCAGCTCAAAAACAAAAACAAAAAAAAACCTGAGTATTCATTGGATACTAAGTATTTTGTGAAGTGGCTATATTGTTCAATGCTAATTTACTTATACCATATCATCCAATGAAGTTTCTACCACTATGTACGTGGCAGAGAACAAAAAAGAATGAAAATGGGTCTCTCTGAAGTCAGAGCAACAGAGCTTACACTTGGCTCAAGGATGAGCCCTAGGCCTGGCCCAGTCCTTGTTTTAACAAGCCCGGTTACTGGTTTCCCTTGTTTCCAGCAAATAAAAATGACAGAGGAAAGCGTGGATACCCAGACCAACAGTATCGATCATAACAATAATAAAGACTTGCTCAGGATGTAAGCAGAGACACTCTGGCCCTGCGCGCAGCAGTGTACTTCCAGTCTAGCACTCTCAAATGCAGTGCGTTGTGGATGATACACTCAGAACGTTAGGGAGAGTCTGCACTTCTCTAAGTGTTGTTTTCTTTTTTTTTTTTTTCTTAATGAGAACATTTCGGGTATTTGAAAGTTTACACATCTGACTATGCCCATTCAAGGCGGCATCACTGACTTATTTATTGAATTCTACATAATGCTTTTCTCCTCTTAAATACAAGCCTCACTGCTGAATGATCCTTTCTTTCCATTCTCAATTCTTTTTCTTTGATGTTTCCTTGAGCAATGGCTTTATTTTCTTGACTTTGGGATGATTAGAAGGGACTGGTGACTTTGTTGTCTTATGTGTTTTTTAAGCTGAAGGTATTGAAACACGGCATCGGTGCGACCTCAGGGAGGGTGCAGTCAGGAGACCAGTAACCATAGCACCTCGTCCCTGAGGCTGCACGAAGTGTGTTTATTGCCTAAGAAGGCAGCATGTTGAACAAGTCTGATGACCTGCCCGTCTACCCTAGGAAGGCAGGCTGGTCCCTCCCTCACCTAGAGCTGGTGGGGATGTGTATCCTTCCAGAGCTGCTGGTTGTTTCCAGTGCCTTCTCTTTATGGAAAAGATGACTAGGTCTAATAATAGCTCCCTACACTCCACATACAACAACACGCGTGCACATGCACAAAAGGCACATAACACAAAGTGTAACACACAAGCCATACAGCACACACACACACACAAGCACTCAAGCTGTACGACATGCACACAAGCTGTCCAACAACACGCACACACAATCCACACAGCAACACAGGCACACAAGCCATACAACTACACACACGCATACAAGCGCACACATTTCCCGATCTAGCTCCGCACTCTCCTGCAAAGCCCCTCCTCAGAGCGCATCACGTGCTTGCAGAAGAGCGCTCTAGAAAGCCTGGGTGGGTGCACCCTGGTAGGGAGAGGGACCCCAGGGGAAGGGTGTCACGGCCCTGGGCTTGCTGTCGGCCCCTTCTGGACGGGTCCTGCAAGTCTTCAGTGCAGGGGTGTTGGTGGCCACGCACAGCCGTCTGACAGCTCACTGTCTCTCCCTTCTCTTGAAGACATGACCATGGACGAGGTCCGGGAGTTCGAGCGGGCCACACAGGAAGCCACCAACAGGAAGATCGGCCTTCTGCCCCCCGCCATCTCCATCTCCGGCATCCCCCTGCTGCCCGCCGCCATCCGCAGCGCCCCCTCCAGTGCGCCGTCCACCCCTCTCTCCACAGACGCGCCCGAGTTTCTCTCCGTTCCCAGAGACCGGCCGCGGAAGAAGTCTGCCCCAGAGACCCTCACACTCCCAGACCCCGAGACGAAAGCCTCCCTGGATCTGCCCGGTCGGCCCATGTCAGAGTAACTCCACGTCTGCGGTCGCGGGGGGTCATCGCTTCACTCTGGGTGTCTTTCAAGGCTCTTCTGATATAGAGAAAGACTGCTTCTCACCCCAGCCTGCTCCTCTGCCCTCGGGGTGTGCATGTGACCAAGTAACGTCTTAGAACACGACTCCCTGAGCATGCATCCCGGGAGACGTGAGATGTGGGGCTCGCACGCCACAGCCAGGCAGGCGGCCTTGCCAGTGGGCATCTGGCGAGGGCGGCGGGGCTCCAAGGACGCATGAACGAAAGCACTGCACCCCTTTGTGACGGGGGCGCTGGGACACGGGGCACTTGGCCCCCTCTCCCCAGCCCTGCGAGCCTCCGTCCCCTGCCTCAGACGTGGCATGCCTCCCGCTAGATGTTGAACTGATCGATACTTGAATACCAGTAGTCTCCGAGATTCCTATTCTGGTTAGTCTGACTCAGGATTTGGGGCCTAACTAACTCTTTAAATTTTGAAAATTTTAATTGTCAACCTAGAGAGGCTCCAAAGTGCAATTAATGAAAACCTGTTTTCTACCTTCCACAGAGTCTAACACGGACTCCACTCCTGTCTTTTAGTGACTTTTCTCTTTGTGGCCTCAGAAATCTCTAAGAACCGCACAATGGGTTCATTCCTGACTGGTTCTGAAGGGGTTTTGCTGGGAACCAAGAGGCCCAGGCGAAGGAAGCAGACCTCAACTCGTCCACACCCGTCACCCATTACGACTCTCAGAATTCGGAGTTCAGCCCGACAGAACTCATGGGTTGTGTGCCCACTCAGAGAAGTCCAAGGTGGAGGAGGCGCACAGGCTTGAGCACTGTCCAGGGCCTCCATCCACTCCGCCAGGCTTCCCACACACCCAGCCGCCTCCAGGCAGAGAACGACGGTTGCTCTCTTGCTCCGGACTGGACGTCCAAATGCAGGGGGTGCTGCAGAAGCCTAGGGAGTACCTTCACCGGGGAAGAGAGAGCGAGTCACGGCTCCTGCGATGGTGTAAACCGCCCCACGCTTATCTGCATGGTGGGCTCATGTGAGATACAGACAGGCCGAGGAGCAAGACCGCATTTCACGGTGGCAGAGGGCGACCCCTGTGCTGGCCTGAAGCTGGGAACCTGCCCCTCTGCCCTCACTGCATTTCGGCACAGAGAGGCAGGCATTGTCAGCACTCTGTCCTGCAAGAAGGGACCAGGGCAGGGGAGCGGGCAACGTGGAGGCCTGTGCCTTGGCTAGTCTTCCTGGCTAACCTCCGGCCTCAGGAAAGGGGCCGTTCCGAGGCAGATTTCAAAGGAAGCAAGGTAGACCTGAGAGCCTGTCCTCCTCCTGCGATCTCCCAGCCAGCAGGTGCCTCCCGCGTCCCTCTCGGTGCTGGACTCTGCGTCACATCCTCCGGGTGGACACACCCGCCCGCCAAGGTGCACTGCTGGCCCGTAAGCCCAGCCTTGGAGCCTCTCGAGTCAGGGGTCAGATGGCCGCGACTCTCTTTACCTACAAAGAGAGAAGCTGGAACTCAGAGGACACCATCGGCATGGCTCCACAGCAGCATGACCCGTCCCGGGTACAACAGGCTAGCAGCCAGAGGCCTCCCACACAGTCTGGAGGCGTGAATCCTGCTTGAGAGAAAACCTGGTCTTTCCCCAGACCCCTCGGGCTCTGAGGCCCCTCGCCCCACCCCACACTGGTGCATTAGTGAGAAGGTTTTGCTCTGGAACGCCAAGTGCCCCTCCCAGAAGCCCCAAGGGCACACGCGTTTGCTCACCATTTGCCAGCTGGAACCAGGACGGGCAGTCACTGTTTCCACATCGGATGAGCTCACTTTGTGCAGGTGGCAGACACACGTGGCTCCTGCCTTCCATGGACACCACCGCAATTTTCCCTTCTCACAAAGTCGCTTCTGCTGTCAAGGTCAGCTGCTCTGTCCCACAGAAGGCCAACTCCCAGTGTCCTCCATGAGTTTTCTCTCTTGGAGTCCATGGGACACACAGGTGTCCATTGCACAGCTGCCCACGACTGTGATGCTGGGCAGCAAACGCTCATGCTCTTCAAGCAGGCCCGGTTTTCTGGCTCCATGACGCTCATGGGCATCTTTAAAAGGGAGTGATGCACATACTTCTTCAGCTGCTTGGAATGTTCAGTCCAGTCACCACGAGGCAAAAGTGACTCCCGTGTATTCTAAGTCCTGGCTTTCAGGTATCATTTCCTGTTCTCCATTGGAATGTGTTGCTGTGAGACATAAGCCTGCCGTGAACCTGGACAGAGGAGTTAATAATTCTTGTAAGGATGGAAAGCAAATGGCTGCATGATGGACACTAGGAAGAGAAAAGTCAGAAACTTGACCCTGCTAAGCACGTTTAGGGGAAAGCAGGACACTTAACTCAGTGCCTCCAAGATGTGGACACCTCCAGCCCTGTTCCCAGACCTATGTGTGTATATAGACAGAGAACGTCAGTCAGGCACCTCCGATTCCAGTCCCTGGCAGCCACATTTAAATGAACAATCCCTCGACTGTCTCATCTGTTCACCCCATCCTCACTCCTGGTGTTAGTGGAGACCCCCAGGCGCCGCACGGTGGGTCGCCTTGGTGGGTGTCAGGTGTGACCAACCCCGGGCTCCCAGGGTGGGGAGAGCTGGGTGTCTTGTAGGATATTAACACCAAAAGCGTTTCAATGTCCCACTTTGGGCTGTAGTAAGACAAAGCAAAGAGAAAGGACGGCACAGAGAAGGCCAGGCCGTGTTTAAACCAAGGAGGAGGCCAGGCCATGTTTAAGCCAAGGAAGAGGCCAGACCATGTTTGAGCCGAGGAGGAGGTTGGGCCATGTTTAAGCCAGGAAGGAAGCCGGCCGTGTTTAGTGCCTGCATCATACCTGAGGCAACCTGAGGCCATCGGCAGACGAAGTTACAAACCCTTCTGACATGGTCTTGCATCTGTGTGGCAAGAGTGGTTTCAATGTGTTTGGAGATGATTGTTGGCCCTGTTTTTGGTTGTGAAAAGAGACCTCTAAGTAGCCCATCGTGGATGTATTATGCAGACATGTCACCAACTAGAGAAGAGAGTCTGACACGCCCTGATGAGTTGTACTTCTGCGGAGGGTCCAGGACGAGTATGTACTTGTGTGTATTTTAGAATCCCTCTTTAGCGTGTCTTCGTGGCTCAGAAGCAGCAAGGTCATAGGTCACTGGCCGGCTTGGGTCGGTAGGAAGTCTCCTTCTGAGAAGTCCGGCAGATAAGGGGCCTGCTTGTCTCATTAGAGACAGTCCAGCAGAGGGAATTGCCTGGACCGGTTGAGCACCTCTGACCACCTGACTCAGCAGGCCAGAAGACACTCTGCCGTCCGAGCCTCGGTTCCGGAAAGCAGAGATTCTGTCCGGCAGCGGCAGTTCGAGCGTCAGAGACCGTCTCAAACGGCATCTTCTTGCTGGGCCTGAGTGCTGCACAGCAGCACGGCGCAGGCCGCCGAGGCCAGCACCAAGTTCCTGGGCTCAGCCTGCAACGGGCCTCCACGTTTGAACGATGTATCTGAGCCTCTCAGGAGCTGGTGCACATGAGAACATGAGCGCGCAGGGACTCCTCGAGCGTTGCTCGCTGTCACCGTGTCGTCCAGCCGGCAGACACTGGAGATGAGCCCCTGGCGGGCTTGCACTAGCCTGTCCAGTCGCAAGTCCCCTTCCTCCCCGCGTGGTGCCTGGAACAGGCTGTGAGTGGCTGTTGTACCCGTGCCACTCGCTGCAGTGTCAGGTGTCAGGCTTCGTGTTTATGTGCAGGCGGGATCCCGACTGCTCAGGCGTCAGGAGGACAGGCGTGGGGCTGCCATCCGCTGTCCATACTGTCCGCGTGCTTCCCGAGTTATTTATTGTTGTTAATAACTTACCTTTTCTTACGTTCTGTTATAAATAAAATGCAAAGCAGTCTTCTTTCCAAGCGTGGCTCCTCTGTCTGCCTCCACCGTTCTCAGGGAACTTTGGTAGCTGTGGGCTTGAGGAGAAAGAAGCCCCAGCAGAGGAATGAGCCGTGACTGTGCGGACTTCATTCTGGGCGACACGTGTGCCGGGAAGTCACGCCGGCTGGTGGCGTGCAGGGCCTCCGGGGCCTTGGCAGGACCCTTCTGGGTGTCTGCTCATTATCCTTCTGGCAGATGTCCAGCGGGCTCTAGCCCAGTAGGACACGCACAGCTGCAGCCGCTGTGGGCTTTAGTCCCCATGCATCACCTGAGGCCACACACCCAGGGAATCTGCAAACCCCTGCAGGACACAGGCCCTCCTGGCAAGCTGTGCCAGTTTTGTTCTTTTGATTTATTTATTTATTTATTTTTGAGCTGGAATCTCACTCCATCCCCCAGGCTGGAGTGCAGTGGCATGCTCACGGCCATCCCAGTGTCGACCTGCTGGGCTCCGGCGATCCTTCCGCTTCAGCCTTCCAAGTAGCTGAAACTACAGGCGCGTGTCACCACACCCGGCTAATTTTGTATTTTGTTGTGGAGACAAGGTCTTGCCAAGTTGCCCAGGCGGGTCTCGAACCACAGGCTCAGGCAATCCACTCACCTTGGCCTCCCAAAATGCTGGGATTACAGGCTAAGCCACTGAGCCCAGCCCAGTTTTGTTCTTTACGTTTCTGTAGAAACAGGATCTCACTGTACTGCCCAGTTTTTAAGATCAGCAGAAATCCCCGAGGCAGCTGGTCCTTCTCGAGTGGTTCCCTGTTCACAAGAAGGTCCTCTGGGGCAAATGCCACCGCCGGCTGCTCCCATGTCTCCTTGGAGCCAAAGCAGCCACATGCCTCCTGCCCTGGAGTCTCCTTCACAGTGCTGGAGCCAGGGTCCACGTCCACGTGGTCTGTTGGGATCTCCGACCGGGTCGCAGGACAGGGCACTGTCCTTGGACTTCCTACACTGAAAGCTTTCCAGAACCGCACATCATTAACCTGGCAAGCACAGACGCACTTGTTTCTGTGGTTCCAGCCTCACCACCACCACTCCCACCCTGTTTTTTGATTCTGTATTCAAAACACACACACATCCCACCCACCCTTGCTAGCTGACTTTCAGCCAGTGATCTTGGGTACAGCCAGGCTGGGTGGATATTCCTGGGGCCCAACTATAAGGGTTGTTAAACATCTGTACGCCTCAACCTGGGCAACACAGCAAGACCCCATCTCTATAAGTTTGTTTTAATTAGCCAGGCGTGTTGGCATGCCTGTGGTTGCAGCTACTCAGGAGGCTAAGGAAGGAGGATCCCTTGAGCCCAAGAGTTCGAGGCAGAAATGAGCTATGATCACACCACTGTACTTCAGCCCGGGCAACAGAGTAAAGCCCTGTCTCTCTAAAGAGAAAATCAGATGTGGTAGCTCACACCTGTAACCCAGTACCAACGGAGGTGAGAGGACTGCCTGAGTCCAGGGGTTGGAGATCAGCCTGGGCAATTTGGTGAGACTCCATCTCTACAATGAATCCAAAAATTAGCTGCGGGTGGTGGCGCACACCTGTAGTTCCAGCTACTTGGAAGGCTGAGGTGGAAGGATCGCCTGAGCCCACCGGGTGGAGGCTGCAGTGGCCGTGATCGTGCCACTGCACTCCAGTCTGGGCAATAGAGAAACACTCTGACTCGAAAAAAAAAAACTGGAGGCCAGGCACAGTGGCTCACACCTGTAACCGCAACACCTTGGGAAGCGGAAACAGAAGGATCCCTTGAGTCCAGGAGTTTGAGGCTGCAGCGAGTCGGGCTGGCGCCACTG